ATCTCTATACCTAAAAATAGAGGTGGTTTTGTCTATTTCATTCTAAATTTGAAAAGTAATTTGTAAAGTATCAATTGGATAGTCTCATTTAGAGTGTTATTTGAAGGCAATTGGTTAAAGAATTGTCCCATGCTTGCAGCAGTGTAAAAGATCTGCTGATACTATAGGGATAATTCACAGTGCCGTAGGGAACAGGATTGAAGAGAAAAAAAGATGTGGCCCGTCTCCAATTTCCACTCTTGCAAAATTGCAGTTTAAAGTTAAACTGAGTTCTTACTGTTGTTACTGTGTCCAAAAAAAATTGCGTTCTTCAGCATGTGTCAACCTTTCTCTCTTAATACTATTTAATCCCTATAATTTGTGCAGCAGTTGCTTTTGTTTTAAAGTACAACAGTAATGCAAGAAATCAGGTGTTGGCCAGTTTAGGTTCTGAGAAATTATTTCCAAGCAAAATATATCCACATTTGAAACATTTTTATCATTTTCTAACAATTTCAAAGATTATTGTAAGTAAACTTTTTTTTAAACTGTCATGGAGTTGACCACCCTGTTGATGAATTAAAGTGTTTTAATTTTCGTGAATCCATATATATATGTTACTGCTAAACCAATTAAGCAATGAAATAAGTAGCTTTGGGGATGTGAATTCAGTTTTGACCTTGGAGTGTATTAAATCAGTCTGATACTTTGCTGACATATTATGCTTGAGAATGAAATTAATTGTGACAGGCATTATAAAGTGTTATATTTCTCCATCCATTTACAGATGTACATAGCACTGATTTCAGTCCACGCACTGATACTGTGTGGCTTCCAATTTTTCTTCTGTATCAGAGAGCAGTGGAGTGGTAAGTAATCATACTCATCCAGAAAGGTGCATCACGTCTAGGAAAATTGATATGATAAAGCAGCAAAATAAGGGATAACAAACAAATAGTTTAATACTTTTCCTGTAAAAATGGCTGCATTTACTTCTGACTTCTTGTCAGATTCTTAACTATGTTACCTGTTTGTGCTTAGCCTTCTTCCTTTGTATTCTTTTAAACAATTTTGAATATCTGTCTGAATTTATGTTGTCACCTTTGAGGAGATTCTGGTTATTTAGCAAATTGAGTCTCACGCAGTGAAAAGATCAGTTCTCATCTTCGTTGGGATAGAAAAAAAAGGAAGATCCAGAAGTGCCCGGAGTTCAAATTCTAGTCCATACATTCAAATTTTTGTACCTCTTTAATAATTCCCTGAGAAAAGTGACTTTTGCTTGCTTTGAGATCTAAGATGGAAAGAAATGTTTCTCTATCAGTCCATGTGCACTTCTGGCTTCAACCAATTTCAGACCCTTATGCAGTATTTTGTAGTTGTATGATCCACTTAAGATACCTTGTGACATTGCTAATTTGCAGTTTCTTTGTTTGATTTAAAGCAGAGGATTAACATTGGAGGCCAAAAACTTATAGGAAGAGCAAAATAACAGGATTTCTCAAAGCACATAACCATAAATATTGCTGTTCTGTTTCTTGACTCCTGTGCAATAAATTTGAGCATCCTTCAATCGGCGTGTAGACTAATGCTTTAATTAAATGAACCTATTTAGATATTTCTTAAGATTGAAATATTTAGGCTTTGTAAAGAAAAAAAGCTTTGATCTTCTTTCTCATTTCTAGGTAGTTTTCCCCAGCATTTAGTTCATAGGAGTATGTTTTAACATTGTCTCAACTATTTTCAGAATAAAGTTATATCATTAGAATAAATCATTTTCTGTAAAGAGATGTCTGTCTTTCATTATGCCCAGTATACCAAATAATGTTGATTTCCGGTCGTTAGATTCTAGTTGTGCACGTGTTTAAGCCATGGTTTAAAACTGAAACGTGGAGACCAAGTTTAGAAGTGCTCCAAATCAATCTAAGTATCAGTTCAGCATCTACATTGAAATGCTGACTACAGTGGCTTCAAAGAAGACGTATTAACAGAATATAATGGGGCAAACATTTGCTAGTTGAGAAATTGTCATTCAGACACACTATATCCTCTTCAGTACGCAGTAATGAACAAAACAAAGCATTTATTTTTGGTAACCCAGCACTGTTTTTCTTTAACGATTATCAGCCTGAAACACTATCAATATTCTTTTGTATTTAATAGCTAATGAAATATATCTCAAGATAAATTTATATTTGGTACATTTAAGAGGTCATATAAGGTGTCTTTTTGTCTTGAAGTTCTACCAAGATTAGTTCTCAACTGATACTGGTATTAAAGATACATACAGAACTTTAAAGTTCTTCAAGATATTACAAAGTGGACAGTTTTATTATATTGAATCTCCAAGCACTAACTACAAAGACCACCTGATATCTCAGAACGTCTATGAAAATAAAAGTATAGAAATTGGTATTCGTATTCAGTACAGAAGAGGAACTCCCAATCTGCCTTTATGGCTGACATTTTGGAAAAGAAACAAATTGAATCAGAAGAGTTATCTGCTGAGAACTCCAAAATTCATGATTGCAACTGCTTAGATTTTTGGTAACTTAGCTTTTGTGAATTACTGCTGCTTTAAATGTGTGAAAGCAAAGTGATAACACTTAGCAATGCATTATTATTGCATCATTTGTAGGCTGCTTTGATAATGAAGTTTTTTTCCCCCACAGAATGCAGTGGCTTCTCACCACCTGTAACTGTAATCCTAATCATCTTCTTGTGCCTTGAGGGACTCCTGTTTCTCACATTCACCTCAGTAATGTTTGGCACTCAGCTTCACTCAATATGCAATGACGAGACGGTATGTTACTCATAGATTTAGAAATTTCTATGTACATTGCTTTTTGATTCAGCAGATATGTTAGATAAATAAATCCAAGTTAAGCATTAAAATAGAGAGAATTTGTGGTCCTTTCTTTTATTTCATTTCACCAAACAGAGTGAAAACATAATTCTTATCTGTATAATTTTTATGCACAGTACGTTTTACTCTTAGCATTGCTATTTCAATTTCAGTTCAAGTATACTTTGATGCTTTTTTTTTGATGTGTAATTTTTAAAACTTGCTCATGGGATGTGGACATCATTGGCTGAGCCACAGTTTATTATCCACCCAGGTGGGGAGATGGTGATGGTGAATTGCTGCCTTGAACCACTGCAGTCCCGCAGTGCTGCTCAGAATGGATTCCAGGATTTTGACCCAGTGACAGTGAGGGAAAGGCAATTAAGTCCGAGTCTGGATGGTGTGTGGAGTTGTTCCTATACACCTGCTGCCCTTGCCTTTTAGGTTGGAGGAATTTGGAAGGTGCTGTCGGAGGAACCTTGGTGTGTTACTGCAGTGCGTCTTGCTACTTTGCATTGGTGGTGAAGGGAGTTAATATTGAAGCTGGTGGATGCAGTGCCAATCAAGCAGGCTGCTTTGCCTGAACAGTGTCGAGCTTCTTGAGCGTTGGTGGAGCTGCACTCATCCAAGCACTTGGAAAGTATTACATCATACACCTGACTTGTGCCTTGTAGATGGTGGACAGGCACTAGGGAGACATAAGTTACTTATCAGAGAGCTGTTGTAGCAATGGTTGTTGGTCTAGTTCATTATCTGGTCAGTAGTAACCTTGGGATGGGATGTTAATAGTGTGGGATTCAATGATGGTAATGCCATTGAATGTTAGGAGATGATAGTTAGATTCTTTCACTGGAGGTGGTCATTGCCTTGTTCTTGTGTCGTGTGAATGCCAGTTATCACTTGTGCGGGTCTTGCTACATGGGGGCTATGACTGTTCTCTATCTGAGATGTTGCAAATAGTTCTGAGCATTGTGCATTCATCAACATTTGTTGTAACACCGAACCATATGGCCAGGAAGTTCTAATCTCAGATTTTTGTCACAAATGATATGATAAGCATGAGAGGAAAACAAGTTATTGAACACAACTAAATATGTAACTACCGGGTGCCTTTGTGAGCAAAAGTGGAGTTTCGCTATTGTATTGCACCACAATTTGATGATTTGCTGACATGTTTTAGGCTCAAAAGCTCTATAATGAGTAAAAACACTCAAAGACAGAGCATTATATAATTGGAATGTCAATGCTTAATTTTAAAAATAATGAAGAGAACAAATACAATCTTTTAGTTTTGCAAAACACAGCTGCAAACAAAAGCATTGTAAATTATAACTTTTTATTAAAAAAAGATCCTTACAACTTTTGTCCACCTTCTGCAAAAAAGACAGTATGATGTGATTTGCTTTTAATGTTAATCTTGTATTGCATCCAGTAGAATCAGAATCTAAATAAACTGTTGGGTTATTACCTTCATGCTAGAATTCAGGATTTTATGATTTTTTTAAACAGTATTTACTGAGAGTGACCACCTTCACCAGTCACTGGGCTTAAACAAATATCATAAAGGGCTGTCATTAGAAATGTTATAATTGTCAGCCAGACTTTCTTGTTTAGAAAGCTGCAGTCAGTGAAGATGGTGAGCACTGAGCTAGACAATATAAGAGAATCTTAAATGTAATCCACAGTTTGTGCTGAGGTAGCTGATCTTAGCCAAGCAGTAGCACAATTAGCTTTAGCATTTACTGATCTTATGAGCAACAAAACAGGCAGAATTTTAAATCCTAATCAGCATTTTCCAGTTTCATTCGGGTGGAAAAATTGCTGTGCCATAATTTCTTCTTTCACTGCATAAGTCAGAATGGAAACATTATTCCACCACGTAGATATTCATAGAGTTTTGAGCAATTATGATTTGCCCCGAGCAAGTAAAGCAGTCTTAACAACATTTGTTCCCTGTAAGCATAAGACCCAAAGAAAAATGGTTAGTTGCAATGCAAATCTGCCATATTAGAATCCAAGACAACAAGGTGCAGAGCTGGATGAACACAACAGGCCAAGCAGCATCATAGGAGCAGAAAGGCTGACGTTTTGGGCCTAGACCCTCTGTTTTTTCCCCCCTCACCCACCCTGCTGCCCTTAAAAGAAAGAGCCGCAAAACAAATAAAAATTCTATAGCTATTTCTAGTAGATCAGATTCCAATTAACATTATAAATGAGCTCCACAGATGCTGCCAGACCTGCTGAGCTTTTCCAGCAACTTTGTTTTCGTTCCTGATTTACAGCACCCGCAGTTCTTTTGGTTTTTTTTTATTATAAATGAGCTGTGTCCTAGAACAATCCTGATATGTTTAGGACTTTAAAGTTTAACTTTAACTATAGGGCGCAACATTGATCTTAAGTAGAGATAGTAAGAACTGCCAGTGCTGGAGTCAGAGATAACACAGTGTGTAGCTGGAGGAACACAGCAGGCCAGGCAGCATCAGAGGAATAGGAAAGTTGACGTTTCGTGTCAGGACCCTTCATCATTGATCTGAAGTATATTTCTATTGTACAGAATGGAGAAGATGAATTATAAAACATAATCAAATAGGTTTTGAAGGCAATTTATTTTTCAAGTATTTATTATAAGTAAAAGTAGATGTCCGTGTATGTTCAGGACAAAGCAAACTGGTCCAATTAAAAATTGCATTAAAAAAGAAATGAATCCAATTTGATTGTCAATCTTTCTCAAGACCAACTTTCATGGGAGTCTATTATTTCAATGGGAGCAAAGATAGTTTAGAAAATAACAATAATACTTAAATATTCCATCTTAATTGTAAACAAATAAGCTGATACCCCTGCAGAATACAGGCCAGGGTGAGTAGGGTGTATGGTGAAGAAGCAAAATGCATAGCTGCATTCTAAATTCAAGTATTTACCAATCAAATAATTACCCTTATTAATCAATGCATTTTTATGTTTATCATGCAGGAAATTGAGCGGTTAAAAAATGAAAAACCGACATGGGAAAGGAAGCTACGATGGGAGGGAATGAAGAATGTGTTTGGAGGGCAGCCGTCATTTCTGTGGATTAATCCTTTCTCAGGGATTAGAATTAGACGACTCATTCCCAGAACACTGAAGGGAGGCGCAGAATTCGCTGTTTGATTCTGAGGAAGAACATTTTTGAAAAAGTAATCTTTCCTAATATTAAAATAAAATTAGCACAAGACTTATTTCTTTTCTACGCACTGCCTACTAAGGTACAATGGATTAAATAAATGCTGCCTGTAAAAATTGAACATAGTAACCTAATTATGAACAAATGCCTGAAGTCTGGAACTAGTGAACTGACAAATCTTCATCAGCCTCATAAGAATGGATTGCAAAAGTCAAACTGTAGCTTTGAAAGGGCAGTTATGTGTCCTATTTCTCTACTGTATAAACCTCTGCATAGTTGCTCATCTTGCAGTTTTGCATAATGTACTATTTGTGACATAACCCCAAATATTTGGATGTAAACTACAATGCGATTGATAACTTAGGCGACATTGGTTGAACTTTTTTTTAATCATAAAGTTTGTAGTCCATTCCATCCAACTGTTTTTCACCTCATTTGAAAAATAATTTTCAGGCATTATATTTACGAACTGTTACCTACGAACTGTATAAGTTAGAATTGAATAATTTCTTTAATCTGTTTTTATATTTTTTATATATATATATATATAAAAAGGGAGCTCTAAAGAAGGGGAAACTTTATTTTTTCAGTTTATGTATATTTCTTTTTTTTAATTTCAGGACAGTTTCTTTCCCTCTATCTGTGGTACGGGTGGGTGTGCACTGTTTTTCAATAATCCAAAGTTTACCCTAAACATAATCACACTTTTTAATTTTATTTATTGTTCTGTTGAAATGCACAGATGAATTGTGAGTGTATTGTTGTTGATGGCTGTTTCTAAAATTGATATAAAATATCTTCACAACAAACCTCTAGTCCAGTTTAATGTAGAATGATTGTTTAGTGTATGGATAGAACAATTTTTTCTCCTTGTTTCTTACCTTCTAATAACATAAAACGTTGAAAACTAACGAAGATGCAATGAATTCATTTTTCATTGTTTATGAAGCCTTAATGGTATTCTGTTGTTCAACTCTTAAAATTTTAGCTGGAGGGAGATAATTATTAATGTTTGATTTCTGCTACTAAAATGGAAAATCCAGTCCACGAGATGCTCCCCATATAATGATAAAGCATGAGGAAAGGTGGAAGTATTACACTGGTAGAAACTGGTAGTACAAATTGAGCATTAAATATCTTTAATGACTCTAGAAAACTGAGTGATCCTTTTATGAGTAGTGATTTTTTTTTTTACTGTGTATTTAGCAGAGTAATGCAGCTAACACAATGTTTTAAATACCATGATATGTTTATTGTTATTCCAATTCCATTATGCTTCTACTGGAACGTCTATTGTAATGACCTCAGAATCTGAGCTGTAAGCTAACTGATACCAGCACTGGTGAAGGTGAAGCAGAAGTAGTTGGTATAAAAGATTTCTGGAGAAAGAGAGAAAAAGTACTATTGCAATTACTTACAAATTAAATACATATATATGACTATATTTTGGAGCTTTGGAAAAAGTTGGAGACACTGCTTTGTGGTAAAATAATTGCAATATGCACTTTACTACATCAGTAGACAGACAATGATTATTTAATGCTCCATGAGTGCATTTACAATACAGATTAAGGCCTTTCTGTTTGCACCAAACCAAATTTGTGAAATGTAGATCTAGACTTATGACCCACCCGATTCTGAAGTGAAGCAAGGTAAGTCTGCTTCCAAAGAGTTCACTCCACTTCCTTCAGAAGTCAGCCATTCTTGTTGGATTTAGGCAACAATTATGTTATAAATGTGTAAAGCAGCTTTATACTGATGTTAAGTTGCATACTGAGAGCACTCCTAGGTGATTGGAGGTATGTTGCACTTTTACAACATCTTTAATTGAGAAGTGATAGTTTAAGTTGTACGGTTTAATTGTGAAAAGCTCCAGGATATTTTTGATAAAAGGATATGAGAATTCATGGTATTTGGATTAGGCAGAGCACAATTCATTCAAAGGTTGTGGCGAGGGATGTATGGATAGGTGCCAGCATGTTCCCATACACTCATTAGCTTGCTCCCTTGGAGGGTGAACAGGTGTCAAAATCGACAGCACACCCACTAGAGGCAAATAAATATTGAAGGTGTCAATTGAGCCTCTTAAAAGCTCAGTTGACCATAATGTTAGCCTGCCCACACCCTAATACATTTGGCATAGGCAGATGAGTGTCAGCGAGTAGCCTTTTATTAATAGTTTTTAAACTGTTGGAAGGTATAAGGGTACTATTTTGAATACGTTACTTTGCACACTGGCGGCATCCCCTCCACAGAAGATAGTACTAACCTCTTCCTCTCCACGTGGACTTCAAAGCCCACTGCTCCCTAATGTTATCAAACTGTCCCCATCCTGTGTCCCTCACTTACCTTGGTCCTACTGGATCTTCTCCCTGGGGCTACTTGTAGTTCTGACAGTGCCCATTATGGAGCTGTGCTTCTACCTCCAGGACTGCTGTGACTGGAAATTGACCAGCAGCTCCAGAAGGTGTGACATTCTCTGTTGAGGGTCAAAAGTCATCACCCACTAATTTACCCCACCTGCAGTGCATTATGCCTATGGGGGTGGATTTGTTCAGTGTCTCAGCTGCCTGATGACTTTTCTTCAGTTTCCTGACCCTTTTAAAAGTTTGTCTACAATTATCTCAGTTTTAACAAGTCTAAGTTGGAGTTCTTAACAATTTCCTTGGGCATCATGGCACTGCTGCCTCTCAGCACCAGGGAATTGGGTTCAATTCTACCCTCAGGCAACTGTCTGAGTGGAGTTTGCACATTCTCCCTGTGTCTGTGTGGGTTTCCTCCGGGTGCTTCAGTTTCCTCCCACAGTCCAAAGAAGTGCATGTTAGGTGAATTGGCCACGCTGAATTGCCCACTGTGTCCAGGTATGTGTACGTTAGGTGCATTAGCCATGAGAAATGCAGGTATAGGGTAGGGCGGTGGGTCCAGATGGGATGCTGTTTGAAGGGGGCGTGTCGATTCGATGGGCCAAATGGCCTGCTTCCACACTGTAGGGATTCTATGATTCCTATCCCTCCACTAAAGGAATAAAGGCACTGAATATTGTATGAACACTGTTGTGTTTGTGCTGGTTGATTCAAATATAACTAGGCTTTAATGATTGTTCAAACCTCAGAAACCTGGTAGGCACCCGCTTTAATCTTTGCTGAGTTGCTTCAGCTGGTATTTTAAAATCGGCCTGTCTACCACTGGATTTGGGAAGGATAAACTCATCCAGATCCCCTGTGTCTAGAAGTGCACTTGTAAAGAGAATGAATTAAAAAGGAACAGGCTATGATGCCTCCTTCAACAGAGTGAAGAATGGCTGGTCTTGCTGACTCTTGTGCATAAATCGTGGCCATTTGGCTGAAACTGGAGGATGACTGTTCCTATGGAATCAAACTCAGCAAAGAGTTTAGGGGAGTTTTGAGGGATATGAAAAGTATAGTTGGGTTCAGCAATGTTTGACCGCTGGATAATTGTTTTAATTTTGAATCCCATTATTTTTTCAAATTATTTATTGGCGCACTGTAGTTGGTGTTTTCAAGCTGAATCATGCTGCCTTTCTGTTTTTTTTCTCTCTTCTGCATTTAATACAATATCGTAAAAGGTGGGTGTGGTTTCATGTTATAAACATCTCATCTGAATACCCTGAATAGAAATTATTTAATTTATAAAAAAATGCTTATTTTAAATTTATATTTATTAATCTTTTTGTTTATTGAGAGTAGGTGTTTAAAATGGTAGAAATATTCACTCCAGCAATGTGCAAGTAAAGAAACCTTGAATATTGAAAAATCTGTTTTAATATTGTTGCAGTGTGCAAATTAGGTAAGTGTATTTATGTTTCCAAATTTCCCCATACCATAAGCAAACAGGACTCGATGCTGTAATATTATTCTTCTGAAACACAAGAAAGAGATATTTATTGTTATTAATTTTTTTCCCATGCTTATTGTCAGAGAGTTAATGAATGAGAACCATTTGTCAAAATACTATGTTTGCTACTCTGCCAGGTCATAGAGTCTTCCTGAACATGAACACTTTGTCATTGTGGACTTGCATGCTTTACCCTACTTCACAGACAAAAGCAAAACAGACTTGTATTTCAGTGATAAATTCTCACAAATGTAAATCACGAACCCCCACAAATGCAAATCATAGTGTAAGCTACATTGGTGATCTATCTCCAAATTATGAATTTCAATTTCATTACATAATAAAGATCAGGAGAAACATAATACTCTGTTTTCAAATTTATTAAAATGTACAGAACTAGAGACACCTTCTGAGATGATTTTCAGTCCATAGGTTTTCTTTCATTACATGGTTATTGTCTGCCAAAATAACCTTATCCATAATCTTTGTTAACATTTGCAGACTGTTTAAGTTAAAAGAACTTTTGTGTCACAGTGAGATGGTAAATTATTTTTCCATTAATTTTTTATAACGTTATTGAGAAATTAGAAGAAGGACCAAAATGTTAATTTTTAAAAAACTCTTTGGTAAAAGATATATTGATTAAGTGATATCAAGCTTGGGCTTGAGAGCCAGAAAAATGGAAAAGTAAGGAAATTATAATGCTAAGGAGTTATAAATGTAGGCCATAATGTTTCCATGTTCCCATTAGAGTTGTGTTGAGTGAGATTCATGTCCTATGGTCTGCCACGGCTTGAAGTGACTTTTCTCGTACAATCTTCTATCCTTCAGCTTATTAATTATGCAACAGGATCTTTGGTGTCCTTCTAAAGGAATCACATGGCAAGGGAGGTGCAAGTGCTCCACCACTGCCGGAACTTTCCTACATAACTACTGGCACCATATTTAAAGCCCAGCTACGCAAATTTCAGACACTACAAGTCAGGAACTAGCCCTGACCTTGTGGTGCTCAACCATTATGGCCCAGAGGAAAGGAGACTTTGCACCCCCTTCATAGATAGGGTCCTGGAGGTACTGATAAACAGGATAGTGGTGCAGATTACCACAAGCTACTTGACCAAGTCACTAAATAATAGCCTGGCTCAAAGCTGTGCCCCAGGTGAAGAGGGATGTGCAACAATACAGGAAGAAGAACTTCTGCCAGAATTAGTGCCACCATCTCTCTGCTACCTCACTCACAGGGCCACCGCTTCCTCTAACCCAGTCCCTGTGCATTTCCCCCACCAAAGCTCATGGATTATAACTTTCAGAACTGCATGCACCATGTCCACTCAACACACCAGGTCTCTCACCCACCTCATCTTTCTAAAATAATGAGAATTCCTGCCCTCTGTTTCCTTACTCCATGAGGCAACTCAAACTCTCCTGCTCCTACATCACCACTAGCTTCTTTTGTCCACCTCAAGCATTCTCAATCTCTCCCTTGTCTCATTGCAGGCAAAATTGCCCCATAACTAGAGTGGCTATCAGGGCCTTCACTCTATATGAAGAAAAGATTCTTGAATTAGCCAGAGAAGATTATGACTGCTCATGCTGGGTTACAGGGATAGGGTGGGAGTATGGCTGGGCTACTGTTCGGGGAGGTTCAGTGCAGATTTGATGGGCCAAATGGCCTCTTTCCACACTTTAGTGATTCTGTGTAGGGACGAGGATACCTCAATGGCTAACTAACCCAGTAAGCTTCATTGTGCTTTTGTGTGTGAATGGCTTCTTAATCTGCTTTTATTTGTTTTATATAACTAATTTCCTCCCTTCTCAGACAGGCACTAGCAAGTCTCTGCAGAGAGGCTAGCACAGGCGATCCTCAACTCCATCTCCACTTTGAGGAGGAAGCCACCGTTGTGGGCAAATCACAATTTACCTTTAATTTGGCTACTTATTAAGAAATCTCACTGATAATCAAGTACTGAAACAATGGTATAAACTTTCCTGCACATTGTAACCAAAATAAGACCCCTCAAGTCAGCAAGCTAAGCCTCAACCCAACTTGGCTATTCCCTGATTATTGGTGGAACTTGGCCATTATCCCACCAACAATGGCCTGTCC